GTACTCGCCTCCCCTGCTCCTTCCTGAAATCTATTATGGATTCTATCAAAGTAGAAGCAAAACCTTCTGCTCATATCTTCCACACCCGTGCAGCTCAGAGGGTGGGTCATTAGCCAAAAGCACTAGGGAACTGCAAAAACTTGGTCCTCTCCCAAGGCCTACTGAATTAAAAATCTTCATTTTGCCAAGATTGTGTGGGATGACGCTTGTGCACATTCAAGATGAAGAGCCCTTTGTCCTCCAGCAGACTCTACATGCAGACTACACATTGGACTCATGTCAGGGTCCCATCCCCAGAGATTCTTAAGCAATTCATCAGGAGTAGGAAGGTTGGTTGCTGTGTCAAGAGTTTTAAAAAACTTCCTGATGGAACAGGTACTGGCCCTATTTTCTCAGTTTTAACCTTAAGGTCTTCTTTCTGCTAGAAGATCTCATTCGGTAGGCCACATCACATCTAGGTGGCATGTCTCCTAGATCATCTTGTGATAATGGTTGCACTGCTTTTTACAACAGTTTCTTTAGATTCACTATTGTGGTTATGAAATGAATTCATGGATAATACATTAACATATAATTTAAAAATCAATATAATGGCCTAAATTATTACCAAGGAGGAGCAAAAGTAGTGACATACATAATTAATGTGCATTTGCACATAAACATCCAGTTGGAGCCCGATTAGAAGTCATAAAGTAGTAGTTGGATATTTGCACCTACTTACAATTTAAGACCAGAAAGAAGACAAGACTCTTTCTTCATTTTTGACATTTTGAAACAATAGCTAAGTAAATGCATTCCTAAACATGGAATTGCTGGGCCTGTGGCATTTACACGGGTGATAGGCACAAATATGTCTCCTGACCAGATACCCAAAATGGAGGTAGCTTCAGAGTCCTGATTTTCCTAAATCAAAAAGAGTACCTCCTGTCTTAAGACTTGCATAGTGGTTGTATTTCTAGAACACTGTGTATTCAAAAGTTACCAACATATTTTGTGTTTCTATGTAAAACAGAGATAAAGTTCTAGTAATTGAACCATATTTTAACATGGTCATGAATCCAGTTTGACATATGAAACCTGCGTGGGACACAACCTTCTGGATCTGGGGTTACCCCCACTAAATACTTGGAGCCCCTTTTTCCAATGATTATAGTAAGGAATGAAAGCACCTGTAATTTTCCAATATACTCCCCTAGGGGGCAGTACTGCTGTGGATTGTGGTGCTAGACAGTTTAACATTAACAGGAACTCTTGGTTTATTTATAAAACAAGTTCAGCACTAGCTGAGTGCAGAAGACAATGGAAGAAAAACAGTAAAATGCCTGCCCTCCAAGAACATAAGCTGATATTATCTTCCAGTTAATTGTAGGAGTTGTTTGGGGGAACACAGTGTCCTTGGCCTCCAAATAAGTGTGTGTGTGTGTATGTGTGTGTGTGTGGTGGGTGAAGATCAAATAGGCACCAGCCTAATACATGACATGAGCAGTGAATTAGTAATTACATTCAGAAAAAGGAGCTCTGAGGGGTAAGCCATACGAAGAGAAATCATTCTGGAGAAGGTAATAGTAGCTTATTGAATTAGGGCAGATGGAGCATGAAGGAAAATATATTTACTCTAGGAACACAAAACAACTCCTATAACCTTAATTCTCAAAGTGTAATATTTAGTCCAGTGGCACAGGCAGCACTGGAGGCCTGTTAGAAATGCAGAATCTCAACCTCTATCCAGACCTATTGAATCAAAATCTGCATTTTAACAAGAACCCCAATATGCAGAGGGGCAGAAAAGGCAGGTGTGACAACTCTCTCTTCCCAATAGAAAGGTATTGTCTGACAATCTCATAACAAAACACAGATTAACAGGAGAAAGGCATACCATGATACTGGAGCCTTTGGAAATGTAGACCCAAAGGTCTGGGGAAACTCCATTTTTATGCTTAGATTCAATGAAGAATGGATAGCCAAATTGGAATGGTAATAGGCTGGGTAAGAAATCCAGTAAGGCCTGTTTGGATTCTCCTAGTGGCCTAGGTGAGTGAACTTTATGGCCAGCTCTTATACAGAAAGATAGGAGTGGGTTAGAATTATATTTCTAGAGTTTTCTTTGATTTTTGCCAGCATGGGGGCTGGGAGTGAATTCAAGGTCTCTATCACTTAAACTACACTTCCTGCCACTTTTTATATTATTTTTCAAGTGAGGTCTTGCTGTATGCTGGAACTGGTCTGGGCTGCAATCCTTCTATTACTGGAGATGACAGGCATATGCCACTGCATCCAGCCACTGGTTGATATGGAATCTGGCAGACTTCTTTTGCCTGGGCCAGCCTTGAAATGCAATCTCCCTGCCTCATTTCTAGGTTTTGTGTCTGGCCTTGGAAGACTGGAGAAGGGTTTGTTTCTATGAACCACCTTGTTGGATGAGGATTTCCAATTAATTTCTCTGGCTCGCCTTGTGGGATTTAAAAAAAAAAAGGCAGGAACAGCTCAGAGAGGTCTTGCTTCTGAACCTCCTTTCGGCTCAAAGTACTCATCATATCTAGGCACCATACTTTGGGACTCATTTTTTGAGCACAATCGTGTTTCAGATTCACTGGCCTGCAAACCCAAGCAAAGAATGAGCAGTTACTCTCTCCTTTTTGGTGACAGCCTGCTACAGAACAGGGTGTATGTGTGCAGTAGAGGTGCAGGGTGAGTGTAGTTTAGTGAGAATCACAATTGGTTGTTGTAAAATATATATCAGAATAGGTTATGGGGGAGGGGTAGAAATTAAAGATTTCTAGACAGATCTAAGCTCAACTGAATCACTGAATCAGTTTTGGGGAGCAAAGGAGAAATACATATTTAATAAACAAATCAAGTTAGATGAGAGTTGGGGATGTAACTCAGTGCCAAAGCATGTGCTCAGAATGTGCATAGCTTTATAATCCCTAGTACTTATTTTTTTGGTGCTGGTCCAAGGGTCTGAACTCAGGGGCCAGGGTCTGGGTACCGTTCCTGAGCTTTTTTTGCTCAAGGCTAAAGCTCCATAACGTGAGATACAGTTCTACTTCTGGCTTTTGACGGTTAATTGGAGAGAAAAGTCTCACAAGATTTTCCCTGCTCTGGCTGGATTTGAACCTTGATCCTTCGATCTCAGCTTCCTAAGTATCTAGGATTACAGATTCTAGGAGCTACAGATACTAGGCTACTAGTATCATTTAAAATCAAGAACAACAACAACAAAAACATCCAAAAACTTAAAAAATCCAGACAGGATGGGGAGAGGGAGAAGTCTTACAAAATACCTCTTAAGATTTCAACCAGAGCCTTCATCACACTATGATATAGTCTCTAGTATTCATTCATTCATTCATTCTTCTTCTTTTTTTTGTCGGTCATGGGGCTTGAACTCTGGGCCTGGGCGCTGTCCCTCAGCTCTTCAGCTCAAGGCTAGCTCGCTACCTCTTGAGCCACAGCGCCACTTCCGGCTTCCTAGCAGTTTATTGGAGATAACAGTCTCACAGAGTTTCCTGCCCCGGCTGGCTTTGAACCGTGATCCTCAGATCTCAGCCTCCTGAGTAGCTAGGATTACAGGCTTGAGCCACCAGCACCCGGCCATTCTTATTTATTATTCATTCATTCTTCGTATGTAATTCTATGATGTCCATTGACAGGATAAACAGGAGGAACAAAATCCAGGAGGTGAAGGGATGGAGGGTTTTTAAACTATAGCTGAAGGACCATCTACTTTGCAAGACAAAACTAGATTTCATGCGGAGAATTTTCATTGTTTTGGGCCCAGTAATCATATTCTTTTACCTCTAAAATGAGCTTTCAGACGGGAAGAAATCAGTGGTCAAAGCCAGTCAGTCAACTCACATCAATTTCAACCCAACCACCACCAAAATAAAACACAAAATAAAATGAGATCCTGGTCTTCTATCAGGTGATCTTCCCATTGCACCACGGCAAAGGCATTTAAATCCTGCCCTGATTCCAATCGCAAGCCTAGCGGAAATGAGCACGGAAACCGGTTACTATTTAGAAAACAGGATGGATTCCTTTAAATGAGGAATTGGCATTTTGGAGTCCTCAGATTAAATTTAGACACTGATATAAACCTAAAGATGAAATCTCGTTGATGCTATTACATATAAATTCAGCCTGTGAAGCGGCAGGTTTCCCGCTGCGCCTCTCTGGGATTCAGGGGAGCAGGCGCACGGGGTAGGTTGCGGCACAGCTGGCCAGACGCGCCTGGCCGTGCAAGGGGACCACTAGCTCCCTGTGGTCAGAGACAGACTTTTAGGGAAGGCTTCGACTTGAGTCCGGGATCCCGGGTGTTCGGAGCAAGAAATGAATGGGTAGGAAAAGGCCCAGGGAGGGTCACAATGGGGAACTCCAGGCATCTGCTAGAGCGCTTGCTGGTCCAACAGAGACTCCATCCCTAGGCTAGCTGGTGATCCAGGGAAACTGAGGGCAGAGTTAAAGCATTTCAAGAGCACGCAATCAACCGCAGACTTGGGGGGCCGCTGAATCCCGTTTCCCGGAGATGAGGGTGGCGGCCTAGGCAGGCGGAGACCCGTACAGTCTGAAGCCTCGAGAGGCTCAGCAAGAAAAAAGATGCCAGATGAGGGGCGCTGCCCGCTCGCCTGCCCACGAGAGGCCACTGACCGGCCTCGAGGAACGTGGAGACATCGGGTCCGCCGGGCTCTCCTGGGCACCAATCCGCAGCGCGCATGGGGCGCGCCCCTAGTCACGCCCTCGCCAAGCCTTGCAGGAGCCGCCCGGGATTCCCAGGCCCCCAGTGGTCCCGTGATCTCAGCGTACCCAGTCTGTCTGGGTCCCTCCCTCTTCACGCACCTGGGTGCCCTGACCCAGGTGCTCGGGCTCGGGGGGGGGGGGCCTCGGGGCGGGTCCCTGCCGTCCGCACCTGCCCCCAGAGGCGGGGCGCGTGGCGACAGCGCGGCCTCAGCCTCGCCACCAGCCTCGCTGGCCTGCGGCTCTCAGACCTGCCCCCTGCCCCCGCCTGCGAGCACCTCCACTCCGCCGCGCCCGCCCTCCCTGTCTCCACGCGGTCGGTCCACCCGTCCCTCCTCCGCCCGAGCCGCGGCGGCTGGCACTTCTGACTTCAGTCCCCGCCGCATTCATCGCCGTCGCCGCCCTTGGGATCTGGAGCTCCGCGCCATGGAGACGGCCACTGGCAGTGAGCGCGGGAGCCCCCCGGGCCCCGCAGTGCCGCCGCCGCCGCCCCGGGGCCACGCGCCCTTGGCTGCCGCCTCCTGCCCAGGCGGGCTGAGTCCCCCGGCGCGCGAGCCGCCGCAGCCGGAGGAGGAGCGGCAGCCGCGGATCAGCGAGAGCGGCCAGTTCAGCGACGGACTGGAGGACCGAGGTGAGCGGGCACCGCCCCTGGCCGGGGCCCCTTCCCCGAGCCGGGCCCGCAAGGCAGGATGACTTTCGGTCCCGCCTCTCCCTGATCTGGGGTAGGACCTAGACAGGTGCGGGGCTCCGCGTCTGCGAGGTGCTGGGGGTGGGGGGCGCCGAGCCCGGACTTCCCGGCCAGGGCGCAGCCCCACCTCCCGCGGTCCGCACGGCCTCGGCGGCGGCGGCGGCTCCTCCGATCCCCTCCGGGGGCCCCGGCCTGCCAGGCTCGCGCCCTCCTCTCGGCCGTCCCCGACCCTTCCGGCGCGCACGGGAAAAGTTTGCGGGAGCGGGTGTTTGGCCCCGGGAGCGCTTGGCTCCGGGGGGATGGGGGACTGCGGACCCCGCTCAGCGCGATCGGACCCGGGTTCGAGGCGTCGTCTTTTGTGATTCCCGATCCTGGCTCTGCGGACCACCCGGGAAAACTTCCCTCGGGCCAGGTGTTTCTCCCGGTGGCCGCGGATCTGATGCCAGCACCAGGAAGGGTTAAATAAAGGGAGCTCGCTCGATCCTGACCTGCTTCTGGATTTGGGTGGGCCCGACCCTTCCTGGGGTCACAGTGGTCACTGCCCTGCCTCGTGATGATGGGGCCCGAGGGCTGTGACGTTTGCGTTCGGGCTACAACCTCATCTGGATGGGTGCCACTGAAACCCGGTGCTTCCCGGACAGCGCGTCTCCAGCCCTCGGGAACCCCTTCCCGCACACCGGCCGCGGACTCCCCGCACAAATCCGCCTCCTGGGGGGACAAACTCTACCTTTCGCCTCCTTTGAGTTGTCCTCCTGGGGCGGGAGGATTCCCTCGTCCCTTCCCGCGTGTCAGCCCTTTTCCATCCCGCCCTCGTTCCTTTCGACTTGGATCCCTAGCGGACGGAGCCGGCTCCTGATCGTATCTACCCACACCTTTCGTGGTTTCCAAATGCCCTCCCCAACCCTCGCAAAGAATCAATGGCCCTGCTACTAATCCTTGCAGCCCAGGGGTGGGGGGCGGTGAGGGGTGGGGAAGGAGGTGGCTTTTGGCACCTTCCTTTTCTTGATATCTTCATTTTGTCGATTGTGGAAGGTTTATGTATTTTCGTCTTAGCAGGTTTCTGTCCTATTCTTAGTATCTCCTGTACATTTTAATTTTTTTTTTTTCGTATTGGGATGCACGATCTCTTTCTCCTCAGAAATTCCGAAGTGTAGCTTGTGGAAATAGGATAAACGTGGGACGAGCGGTTCCCAGGCGCAAATGCCTGGAGCTGCTCCAGTTGCAACGAGTTCTGCACCTCTGGTGCAGTTTCTCCTGTGTTCTCACAGAACTGCAAAGCCTTTGGGGGCCCGGGACTGGTGACCTCACTAGCACCCAGCCAAACCTGTCACTTTGCATTATAGGGTGTGTAAATGACTTCGGCCCTGAAACGAATATTAAGATTAAAACATTTTTTTTTTCTATTGAAGAAGGAAGCCCAGCTTGAGCTGAATTTTGTAGCATTGCAGGTCATCTGTAAGACCTGGCCTTTTCTCCCCATCCCAGAAAATGATGGGAGGGGGAAAAAGAACAAGAGTCGGTTAATATTTAGCAGTTCACGCACAAGTGTAAAAAAAAAAAAGTCTTTCTGAATTCATTCCTAAGGTTACTTGCTAGTGGTCAACTGAATTTCATTTTCCATTATATTGCCGCCTGAAAGCATTCACTGTTCATAAACTGTCTTAGTGTGAAAGCATTGCATATCACACACAGAGTCTCTGTTAGGATGAATCCTGCCCACCAAGGAACCCAGTGCCTGGTGCCCTGGCGAGCTAGCTAAGTCAGTGTGACATTCTTTTGTTTGATCCACTTTTGATCGCAAAGAGTTAATAATGATAAGGGAGTCATTTTGGCTAAATAAATTAGAAGGTTACCTGGGGGGAGGTTTATTGTAATATTTTGTATTTGTGTTAATTTTTTTTCTTATGGGGCTTCATCTTTGCAGAATTGATTTTTGATATCCCTTGAGAATGGTTTGAATGCTGTGACCTCTTTCTTAATGGTGCTAGGGACCAGGAAGAGGAAACCTCTGCAGTCACCTGCTGTGCGGTTCTCCATCCAGCCAGGGCTGGCTTTCTTCTACTCAAATACTTATTGGTTATAAGGGGAGGGGGGGGGTTCCTCTTGATAGCTACTGACAGTTAGCTGTCTCTTATGTGCTAACTTCCTTTTGATCTATTAGGACCCTATTGAAGACTGCTTCGAACTCCAATCAAAGTCTAGCTTTATAATCCAGTGTTTGGAAACATACTCCCCTTAGAAGGGCTGGTTCCCAGAAACCTAGCTAGCTCAGAATGTCGGTCATTACGGTGCTATTTCCTTCAGCCTTTTGTTCAGGGAGCTCGGTGGTTTAAGATATGTAGGGATTAATACTTCTTTCCCTTCCCTTTATATCTAATAGAAATTCCTCTTCTTGTAGAGAACTAAAAACAATTTTTTTTAAAAAAAGAGAACACAGTGAAAATGTGCATCTACCCCAATAGAGGGTCAACCCAACACGAATAAAATCACATGCTTGGTATTGTCATGTAAAATTGTAAATTTGAGTGTTGAGGTTAGAAATGTAAATGTGGAGGCCACCTGTGCTTAGGAGGGTTCCAAACCTGCATACAGATCTGAAACCTTAATTCCTATGGCACAGTTCTGCCTCTCCAGGCTACTTCACTTCTTCTTCTGAAGTACAGCTTCTTAGAAACTTCAGGGAATTCTCATCACATCTTTGTGGCTTGTGAGTGTGAGTGTGCATGCATCCAGCATGGGTGTAGAGATAACTGTGTATAGACCATTCATTTAGGCTGGGCTTTTGTAAGTCATCACATTCCCCTTTAAGAAGAAAATGTTTTCCATTTGGCTATGTTTTTAGGTAGGAAAACCAGAGGGGACTAAGTAAAGATTGGATAGAAATGGGGGATATTCTTCTTTGGAGTAGTTTTCCCATTGCAGTTACTTCATTAAATTAAAAAAATTTTTTTTAAATGGGGAAGGCACCAAAGAACACATTGGGGCAAGAACCTCTATCCCACTGCTGAGAGAACCAATGTCACCGTAGCAGGTAACATAGCCAGGAGGCTCTCATCTGTCTGTTGCTGGGAATGCTGACCCTTGGTGGGTCAGGTCCACATGTGTGGTCAGGACCGGGTATTCTTGAAAGCAGCTGACTTAGGAAAAAATATGGCATTTGGCAAATGGAAATCTTAGGCCATGGTTGTTACCTTTTTTTAAAAAAATAAGTTTTTTATCCTGAAAATACCATACAGAGAGGTTACAGTTACATGAGCAAGGTAATGAGTACATTTCTTATCCAGCATTGTTGCCTCCTCCTTTGTTTTTCCCCTACCATCCCTTCCCTCCCACCTCTTCAGCTACACCCCCCCTCACCCCCAACTAAATTGTAAAGTTCATTATTCTACATAGCGTCTTATATATCTCATTGTTGCAATGGGTCCACCTGTATCCCTATTTAAACAGTTTTTCCCCTTCCCCTCCCCAAATTATACCAACATCAAATACAGTGAAAACAGGGGGAGGGACATACAAAGCAACAAAAAAATCACATGATACCTTATAAGTACATTAGAAACAATAGCAAGGAAGAAATAAAACCACTTGTGTCCCTATCTTGGGGTTCACTTGGCTTAACATGATCTTTTCTGACCTTACCTTTTGGAAAACTACTTCTAAAAGAACTCTTCCTTGCATTTACTCTTTCTCACCCTGTAGCTAAAACCCTTGGATATTTGCAACCAAAATACATAGCAAATGAGCCACTTATTTGAGTTTGAACATGAAGATTACAAATTCATTTCTCTTGGCCAGGATGAAAGGAAGATTTTTTTTTTTAATACCTCATCTGGGAAAAGGAAAATAAATGATCAGGGGTGTGTGTGAGCTGCTTCTAAATTATAGCTTCACTTGGGTGAAAGTAGTTGAAAATCTCAACTCAGTACCTGAGGAGTAAACAAAGAATGACTTCCTGTATTTTCACCTTTAGGGTGGAATTTAACAGGAGAGATGGTTTTTTGTGTTTGGTTTTTCCCATCTAGATGCACTTATGAAGGAAGATTTTGGGAAAACCGTACAGTGAGATGGTGGAGATGGAGATAATATTTCCTGTTCTCACCCACAGGTGACAACCCGCAGGTTTCAGTTATTTAACAATTATTCTCTGGGCTGTGAACAGAGTTCACTAAGCAGCCTTCCCTACATTCCTGTTTGTTCAGGGCCTATTCAGGGATGCATGTGGCTAGGTTATAAATGGAACTAAGGAATTTCTATGGTGTATTTGTTTTTTATGTATTTCATATATATGGGCAGAATGCATTTTTTTTTGGCACTGGTGGAGGCTCAGAAAATGAGTCTAGCACATTGAAATGCTGAGGACTCTGACTTTAAGGATCTTGAAAGGTGTTAGAAAGCACTGTCTCTTCTGATCTCCTGCCCTTCTTCCTCCTGGTCCCCCTTTTATCCCAAGGCAGTCCATAGAAACTAGAATTCTTCTTCCCCAAGGTGGCTCATAGAAAGCAGAACTTCCTCACAGAGTATCATAAAAACTTAGAAATATTACCCTCACTTCCCTTTTCTTTTCTGTGTAAGGGCTGATCACAGAGATCTCTGACCTCCCTTGTTTAATAGCAGGTCAATCACAAGACCCTGATTCCAAAAGTGATTATGCCCCATACCAAGAAGGGAATAGACAGACAGGCCTTGCTCAGTTTCCCTTTGAAGTTTACTACTATTTAATCATACTATTTCTTCAGTACAATCCTTTTTTTTCCCATCAAACCTAAGCATAAAAATAGCTCTCCCTGTATATTTGGGTCTTCATTTCTGAAGGCTCCCATGTCACATCAAACTAACACATTTATTGTGCTTTTTCTCCTGTTAACCTGTCTCTGTACTGTACATGTGTCAGCCTTGTCCCTTATTATGGGCAAGGATAAATACCACGCCCTTTCTGCCCTGTAGCAACTAGAAGCATAGTGTGGGGCCAATGAGACAAATGAGGTGATGCATAGGTGTGCTATGCCTTACACTGTGGCATTTTCTAAAATGGGCCCCTAAGCTTTGATGACCAATTTCTTCTTTTTCTGAAGCTGGTGTGAAGAGGTTGTTCAGCCTCTGAGAGGAATGTTGTGGATTGTGTAGCCAGAGCTGGTATAATGACCTTCTGCTTAGATAGAATGCATGGCTGAAAATTTGATTCTCTCTGCAACTAAGAAAATGCATTCTAGGGGGTGACATTGTCCAAAAAGAAATGCACTCATTAGCTGATTTATGTAACTTTAATCCCTCTGTACACCACCTTTATAATAACGATAAAAAATGTGAATAAAAATAAAATGCATTCTATGATGAATTTTCAAAGGAGAAGAAAGAAATAAAGAAATATAAATCATCAAGTCCATTCTGACCCCAGGCAGTTAAAGCTTGAGCATTGCCTGGGTATTGTCACAATGCAATGTACAGGAGACAAAAAGAAAATGTATTTATGTTACCAGATGGCCTGCCTAGGAAACTACCCTGGCTTTCGCAGGTCTACTCTACTTTAATATCCTGAGAACATTTTGGTATGTGCTTGGTACAAGGAGAAGAAGGAAGAAAAATACGTCATATAATTTGGGCCCAACAGCTACTGTCAGTTGTGGTTAAATGGTCCATTTTCTACTGTTAGTTGTCAGGAGGTACGGGGAGGATTCTTACAGCCCATGATTCTTTGCTTTGGGTAGAATCCAGTTCTGCAATTGAGGATGTGCTGGTGGGTCCAGGCAAATCAGTACCACAGCCAAGGAGCCCAATTCCTTAGTAATTGCTGTGCTGTTTGAACCAAAATGGCCTTGTTGGATGGAGCAGCTGCTACCTGAGCCAAGTAACTTAGTGTGGAGATGAGGGAAAGGCCTGGTGTGGCACATCAGGGAGTGGTGGGATGTATGGTATTCTGCTAAAGAGGCCAGTTGCTGTCATTCTGTAGAAATCCATGCCCCATATTGCCAGAGCCTGTGCTTTTTTTTTGAGGGATGGCAGAAAGCTTGATTTTCATGTGAAACCTCCTAATTGTGAAAACACAGTATGTGCCAAACAAAAACACATCTTGGCCCACGGGCTGTCAGTTTGTAATCTTTGGATAAGAAATTGTAGCTCTGGCTGTGGGTTTCTTAATAAGGAAATATCTAACTTCCTTTTCTCCTTGTTTTCTTTTGTTTTGTTTTGGTCAGGCTTACTAGAAAGCAGCACCCGGCTGAAACCTCATGAAGCCCAGAACTACAGAAAGAAGGCATTGTGGGTCTCCTGGCTTTCCATTATTGTCACCCTGGCCCTTGCAGTGGCTGCCTTCAGTGAGTATCAGGAATCTTGCTGATCGATATGGGCTGGTGTTGCCTGTCTTATTCTCTAACCCCTGTGGGATATGCTTTTGCTTTTAGTTGACTATTATTGATGAGTGAATTTTTTTTTAGATGGTAGGCTAGTCAAGGTACTTATAAATTAGTAAGATGGCTTCTCTCTCTGCTGAGGGAGAAGATATTATGAAAAAGAGACAGAGCCGTACTGAGAGCCTTGGCACTCATCAGTATGCAGGATTGTGGAAGTAGATGTGGTTGCCAGTGGAATAGTGAAAATAGTTCTTGGTGGATGCTTTCAGCTTGGGCTGACATGTGACAATATATATCCTTGAGATTCGTATTTTGAGCCTAATGCAACAAGATGAGTGCAATATTGCAGTGAGCTCGAACTCTGCCTCACCCCCATTGTATCTTGCGAAAGGTTTGGAATAAAATCACACATCCATTTTTGAGAAAGAAAAATGGAAGGGCCTTCTCTCAAATTTTCAGTGGTCACAGAAATGAAAGAATTCATTACAATCAAGGGAAACAAAAGTGGAACCATTCCTGCCTATAGAAAATCCTATTTGGGAATTAGGAAGCCCGCTGACATGTGTTTTCTTGGGGAACGTTTGCAGCCTGTGGAAATATGCATGTACTCTTCTTATTGATTGAGCAATGGTTCATAAACATAAGCAGGGACAACTACAGCTCAACCTTGATAAAAAACCATAGGATTTTTTTTGTTGTTGTTGCTTTTCTTTATTATTTTTGTTTTTAATGCTTAGAAAAAGGGGACTATCTTTTGTGTTTTGTGATACATTTATACTAACACTAGGACCTGAATTCTATAGAATAATAACAAACATCATATAAGGCATCTCAGAGCAGGAGGAGAATGGACTGTAACTATTAGAAGCTCTGGTTCTGTGTATGTTATTTAAAATTCTATTCTGCCAGGTTAGGTCTGCTGCTGGAAGTTGAAATTGGATCCCAAGAGAGAATATTAGAATTTGACCAAATGCTCCCTTCAAAAGTGGGCATATATTACTTGAAGCCATTCATATTGGAAACACCATGCCATATCTTGGCTCTAAAGAAAAAAAAAAAACTCCAGCATTTAGAAGCAGAGGGTAATGCATTTCAGAGAATAAACATTTACCAGTGAGCCAGAAATCTAATCAAGTGGAATTCTGATCCCCTCTCCCCCCCCCCTTTTTTAATGTTGAAACAAGAATAACAAGCCCCTGATGTCCCTGGAGGGTAATTTGGCAGTGGTGGCTGGTAGGGGACTCAGGATTTGACACGGTAATTTCCATATGTAAAGAAAAGAGGAATGGGATGAAGGGAGGCGATTTACAGATGGAATAATAGTTACTCAGCCCTGGCCTTGTGCCCTATAAAGCTGTTATGACTTTATCCTATGAGTGTTTGAAAGGAGGCCCTGAACAAGAAGAAGTCAGGAGAGAACCTTCCTTTAAGAGAATACTGTCACATTTGATGTTTAAACTTCATAATTGGGAGAACTTATGAGGAAATTTTGGCTTTCCATGTTATCTTAAAAATGTCCTGTTTTCTTTAATAGGAAATGGCATGTATAATGCACACAAAGAGCTAGACTGTCGCTTTGTGCAAAGGATTTCCTTTTCCTTTTGAAAATGATTGCACCCCATTATTTCAGCAAATATTCAATTTAACCTATCTGACTTCTTGCCTGTAAATATGGACATTGACATAGCATATCATGACCTGTGTTCTTTTCTATAATCCAGACAGTTCATTTTCAAATTTCCTTGTTCTGATTAGTAAACCAAAACCTGAAGAAGATGAATTATAGTCTTCCCCATTTTAACTCTAGAGTAACTTCACACTGTGTGTGTGTATGTGTGTATGTGTGTGTGTGTGTGTGTTTCAGTTATTAAACCCTTGGGCTGGTCTCTGATTACGTTGATAGAATTGTTGCTTTACCCTTTAGTTTCCTTAATATATTTAGAACATGAAATGTATAAAATCTCTCTCAAAGTGTCATTAACATGTTGGTTGACATTTGTGGTAAACTTTCCATAGGTTAAAATGGGAAGAAAACAAGCAGAAATTAAACGCATAGAAAAACAGAAATTAAGCAAATTTGAAGTTACATTTAAATTAGTATCTAAAGGAAAAGTGTACATTCCATAAATGGCAATCATTTTTCAAGAGTGTTGTAAGTAGGGTTAATTTGATTAAAGTATATTATATACATGCATGTAACTGTCACAATGAACGCCTTTATACAATAGTTTACACTAATAAAAAAATAGAGTATCACAAGAACACTCTGCTTTCCCCCTCCCCTCACCTCCATCAGAGAACTTATTGGACTGTGTGCTTTTGTTTATGCATGCATGTATGCATGCGTGTGTGTGTGTGTGTGTGTGTGTGTGTGTGTGTGTGTGTGTGTTGTCAGGGGCTGTTAATAATGATGAAGAGAAAGACACTGTATTTATGGTCATGTCTTTTTTCTGTTTGGCAGTAAAAGAAGGGGTGAGCAAATGACCCACCCTCAAATGGGATCAGTACTCAAGAATGTTATAAATTTGCCTCACTTTTCTTTTTAAGGTTAGGTGGAAGAGGAATAGTTATTAAAAAATAATAAAGTTTACCTAATAGTTTAGGCTTAGGTTCCATCTATTTTTTTTGAAACTGTTTCAAGTTTTGAGACCTTAGGCTACCTCTGGACTTTTTCTTGCTGAGTGCAGGTAGGGTGCTTTCTTGTGATATTTAGATATACACCTACTATGACCAGTTGGAATTCGGAATTGCCCTTTTTCTATTTATTTGTAGATACTTTCAATCGGCCATTTCCTTAAGTGAGTGGTTTCTAAAGGATTTAATGCTAAAGCTCACTGAATCAATATCACTGAGTTATTTGGAATAATTCCTCTGAATAGCTATGGATTGGTTATTCACGTGTCTAGTATAGTTTGAAAAATAAAGTGGACTTTCAAAGTTTGTCCTTAAAAGTACATTGAATTAGATGTATATGGACTAGTTTGAAAATACTTGGAAATAGAGTAGTTTGGCCCTGTTCTGATGATCAACATTTGAATTTTTATCACGATTTGTATCAACAAATCCTGGAAGTAGTAGTAGTTCATCCAGGAATATTTTGGAGGGAGCCTCAGTTTGGTTTTTAAATGGGTTCTGTTTATAATCAGCAAGCAGTTTGGAAAATGGCAATCCTGTTATGGGCAAATGTGAAAAAGGATCTGTTTTAATCATGAGGCTAGGAAGAGAATAGAAGTTTATTCCACAGTTGAGGTTTTTCACACTGTTGATAGCTTTGTTAGGACGATTGGAGAAAATGTATTCTCTGTTTTTGAGGTTTGGGTACAAGTTAATTTTTAGGCACTTGATGCTTGTTCTGTGGGAAATGAAGATATATTTGCAACATTCTCAGGGGAAAACCATTTCTAAGATAGAGAGGTCCATTAAATAGAGAGGGAGAGAGAGAGAAAAAAGGAGAAGAGTACTCCAAAGATCTCTGATGAGGCAGTGGGTAGTGGGGGATGTGGGCAGGAAGCTGTGAGCCACATCCTGGGGGTATTTGGTGGGATAACTTGTTCCTTGTAAGGGTGTTCTGTGAATGATAAGCACAGAGGCTACGTCTGAGAGGTGGAAGCCAGGAGAGAGGATCAGGCCGAACTGCCTTTGGGGAACCTTGTCTTGACAATTCTCTGGGTTCTTCCTTCATATCCTTGTGCCCTATCATGTACGATTGTGTGGCAGCCATCCCTGCACTACCAGCTAGATGACAGCACACAGAATACCGGGTCCTATTTTAGTTTGGCCTTTTGCTTCCCAGGAGGACCCTCATGATCTTTCTCTGTTCTTCCTTTTTGGGCTCATCTATGTCCATTTCCCAACATCTGGCTACTACAGCCCACAGATGCTCTTTGTGGTTCCCAATGCCACATGCTGTCTATGCCCTAATAACACCCTTTCTCTTGTCCAGGCTTATATGCCTTTGGCCCTTGACCACTGCCACCATCATAACCTCCTGGACTCCATCTCCAAAATGACTAGCAAAAAAGCAGGGCTACAGGGGTAGATACAGAGCTAGAACATGAAGTGAGCAAGTAAGCTGAGTAAGTACAAGGCCCTGAGTTCAAATCAGTATTACCACCCCCCCCCACCCCCATCCCTCAAGAAAAAGACTATCTCTTCCAGGAAGCCTTCCATAGTCCTCTAGGATAATTCAAATGTTCCTTTTCCCCTGAAGCCCCATAGACACCATAGACCAGACACTTGGCACACAATGCTTGAATCATTTTGATATTGCTTTGTGTGCTAATGTACACAGTTGGGAGGCCTCTGCCCTCTCTACTCTGTTCCTGGTTCCTGAGATAGTTGCCCTGCAGATATTAGTTGAATGGAGTCAGTATTGGCATCTCCCTCTGGAGGCTGCCATAGACATAGCAGGCTGAAGGGAATATTGTTTGCAGGTACTGATTTCAGACAAAGGCATAGTGGCCTTCTCAGGTGAATGGAAGGAAGGATGGAAGTAGACAAAGAAGGAAGGAAGGAAAGAAAGGAATAAGGAAAGAAGGAAGGAAGGACATGAATCTTGGGCCTTGCAACTCTACATAGCTGGTTACAGGAGCTTATTACCTCCCCTTCTGCCCTCTTTGGTTCCCTGTGCTCCTCCCCTCTCCCTCTGCTTCTTCTTGGGCTGAAGGATCCAGGTTTCCATTGACAAGGCTCTCCCCCTGCTCCTGTTCAGAGAATACATCTTGCCACAAAGAGCTGCTGTTTCCAGCCAGGCGTGGAGGCGGGGTCTCTGCAGCTGTCTGCCTGTTTGCCTCCCTTCTCAGTACATTCTTCACACAGTGTTTAATTAAAAGTGTGGCCAGGGTGTATTAATATGAGGGTGTTCTTGTCACACAGTGGTGTCAGGGACACAGGGGAGTGGGGTGATGATCCCAGCTGGGCTTTCGTTAGTCTGGGCAGGCCTCAAGGATCAAGAGTCCCCTTGA